TCTCCAGCAACTCCTGGTTGCCTGCTGGATTTGCGTCGCCGGGAACTTCCCCTTCGCGGACTCTGTTTTCCGGCCGGTTGATTGCGTCAAACCGTTGGTCAACTTCCCTCTTAAACTGACCTAATTTCTCCTGGAATTCAACATGGAATCGCTCCCCCATCCGATCAAGAAGTTCATCCATGTTAAACGTTTGCCTCGCCATGGATTGCCCTTCAATTTGTTCTTTCAATTCCTGACGTCGGATTGCAGGGTCACCGGAAACAGGGCCTTTTGATCTCGTCCAACGCGTTGATTCAGCAACTGCGTCTGTCGTACTGTCCACTGCATTTGAACCAGGCGATGATGCCACTTGATAAACCCCAAGGTAGGGTTTCAGATCAAAGTCACGCAGCCAAGAGATCTAGAACCTCAGATTGTTTGTCTCGAACAAGAACCCACAAAACAGAGTTGGTTTTGCGGTTTAGATGGTGCATTTTCGTGCAACTTTCACAAGGGAAAGAGGCTCGAAACCTTTAGGTAGATGCTTGGACACGATCAGGGTGGTGAACTAATCGATACAAGCTCACGATTGCTTAGAATCCTCCAAGCAATCCAACTCAATTCCTCGAGGAAACTTGCAAGATGAATCAAAGCTCAACTTTGTATTCAATGGATCAAAACTGACGATTACATTATAGACAAATGTTTAAATAGGATAACTAATCTTACAACGCAAGTGAAGATCATCCTAAACAGGCTATAACTCAAATAAACACAAATTCTAACTAGAAAAGGAAATTAAAACAAACAGCGGGTAGAATCCTAATCCGTCTCGGATTTAGATTGCTCCTCCTCTAACCAGTGTTGATACGAACTTGTAGCTTCTCGACTCTCCGTTGTAGAAGGAGGTACGTACTTTCATGAATGCCAACCCAGGAATCTCGACTCTCCTTCCTGCTCCTCGACGAGAGCTCCAAAGATGACTCCTCGCTCACGGTAGAACCACTTGCCCCCTGTGGAACACTATCCCATGCCGGAACGTGTATCCCCCCAGTGTCACGCTAAGGGCTATATCTCGGCGTTCCTGTAGATGCGGGCTCGTCTCCACCGCCTTCATGACCTCATCCCGGAACTGCACCACTGGCCTGCGGCCCCAGCTCCACCCTTGATAATGCATCGACGGCCTTGTTCATCGGACCTGGTCTGTAGTGTAGCTCATAGCCGTACCCCATCAATTTTACCACCCACTTGTGCTGGTCTGGGGTGGACACCCTCTGATCCATCAAATGCTTAAGACTCTAGTGATCGGTGTAGATGCGGATTTTCTGACCGATCAAATAAGGTCGCCACATCTGAACCTCTTTCGTGATGGCATGCATCTCCTTTTGATACGTGGACCAAGCCTCCTTGGATGGCGGAAGAGTACGGCTCATGAAGTCGATAGGGTGCCTATCCTGTGATAGTACAATGCCTATTTACCTGCAAGATGCGTCGGTCTCGATGTCGAATGGATGAGAAAAGTCCGGCAAGGCCAAGACCGGGGTCGTAGACAGAGCGGTCTTAAGCTCACCAAAAGCTCTCTTCGCCTTGGGGTTCCAGCTGAACCCCTCTTTCTTCAATAGTTCATTCAAAGTCCCCGCTATCAAACTGTACCCCTGCACGAACCGCCGATAGTAGCCCGTGAGAGCAAGGAAACCCCGCAGTTCCGTCGCTGACTTCGGCACTGGCTAGTCCATCATGGACTGAATCTTCATCGGGTCCACCCTTACTCCCTCGCCTGATATCACGTGCCCCAGATAATCCATCGACTGGACCAAAAAGTCACACTTAGTTGCCTTCACATAAAACTGATTCCCCTGCAGTATCTCAAATACCTCCTGCATATGCTCTTTCCACGATTTACTTAAAACCAGAATGTCATCAAAGAACACCAGTACTGACTTGCGAAGTCAAGGGTGAAAAATATAGTTCATGGCAGCCTGAAATGTCGATGGCGCATTACAGAGTCCGAAGGGCATCACGAGGTACTCATAATGGCAACTATGTGTCCGAAAGGTTGTCTTAGGTACGTCCTCCTCGTGCATGCATATCTGATTATACCCAGCCCTCATGTCGAGCTTGGTGAAGTACTGGGCTCCCCTTAACTTAGGATGTCATCCACTATGGGAATGGGAAACCGATCATGCACAGTAGCGGTGTTCAGGGCCCGGTAGTCAGTGCAGAACCTCCAAGTACCATCCTTCTTCTTCACCAACAATACTAGCGTGGAAAACGGGCTGGAGCTTGCCCGAATTAATCCTGCGGTCATCATTTCCTCTACCTGTCTCTCGAGCTCGACCTTCTGGTTGTGAGCATACATGTAAGGTCGGACGTTAACCGCCTTCATGCCCTCCTTCAGTCGAATCCAATGGTCAACCTGGCGCTTCAGGGGCAGCTGGTTTGGGTTTCCAAATAATTCATCATATCGATCTAACAATATCTATAATTCCGGGGCTGGTGGCTGTTGGTCGTTAGATCCCAGTGGCCAACAGAGCACAGCAAGCTCCACGTCGCCCTCCAGCTGCAGATCGCCCCACTCGATCGGCTCGTTCGCCGTGGTCATACCCTGCAGCTCTCAGTCATTGTCCCTCCACTTGAACGGCATGACCATCTTCACCCAGTCGCTAGTCATTGATCCCAAACTCTTGAGCCATGGCATGCCTAAGATCACATCGAACCCCTGCAGTGGCAGCACATATAAATCAAGGAAAATCTGTAGCCCTTTAATCTGTACGGGTACCCCTTCCAGCTTTCATTCACACTTCAACGGTGCACCATTGGCGACCTTCACATCAAAAGAATCAGTTGGCAACTTGGGCAGGTGTTGCCGCCGCACAAATTCCTCGCTCACGAAGTTGAGGGAGGTCGCACTGTCCTCGAGAGCCACCGCCCACTCCTCCACGACTTGCACCCGAAAGCACATGGTTGCCGACCCGTCTGCGACGGCGGAGATGGTTTCTCGTCCCGCGTCGTCCGCCTCTGCCTTCTCCTGCCTGCACGATGTCGTCGTGGCTGCAACGGCGGGAATGGCTTCTCGACCCGCGTCACTCGCCTCTTCCTCCTCTTGTCTGCTCGCCGTCGTGACCAGAGGGATGCGTCCCTCCGCCATCGCCTGCATCGTGCCGACCGCGGCCCGCATCTCCTCGGCCACCAGCTTGAGTCGTGCGAGCACCTCCTGCAACTGGTCGTCCATCTGCGTTGCCTGGTCCCCTTTCCCGAGCCCTGATGAAATCATGTCGAGCCAGGCTCTGATACCAATTGTGAGAAACACGGATAATTGAGTAGAAATTAGGGATGAGAATAGAAGAATTAGGGTTGAGAATTGGGAATTGGGGTGGGAATTGAAGAAGAGATGAGGAATTAGTGTTTAGGAATTCTGATATTATTCTTGCTTAATCGAATTAACAAAGACTGTAGTTTAAATAGTTCTCTCCCCCAACAATACTCAAATGACCCAAATACCCCCTAAGCCGACTCGGCCTCTGACTCCATGTCTCTCACACTGCCACGCTTCAGCCCAAAGATACTTTGGCAGCTGCCTTCTACATTTTACTTGTTAGAGGGTGCAATGCAATTAATAAGGAGCCAACGCCCAGCAACAACTAAATCAATCGCCACTTCTACACCATGCGTGTATATGTATATGGTGGCGTATTCAGTGCACTCACTTTTTTGGGTGCATTGAATGCATCTGTCTCATAATCGTTATTCTAAGCAAACGATTCATGTAAAAATGATGGTAATCGTCACGTATGATATGATGGACAAGAAAATACATGAATTTGTACAAAATCATTCACGATTTACTTTAATTTCAATGATTTAGGGTTTAGGGATTTAGGGATTAAGTTTACAGTTTGGGGTTTTAGGTTGAGATTCAAAATTGAAGGTCAAGATGTTAGGGCAATGGATTGATTAGTTATGAATTATGATTCTAAGTTATATCATCGTGTTACACTATTTCTACAAATTAAAGTTCAAATTTTGATATACTATGACCTGTTTTAGAATTGGATGCACTAAATGCAATAAAAAAAGTGAGTACACCGAAGTCATATATATATATAACATCTAAAAACGACATCACCAGGCATAGCATTTGACAAAATGCAACCTCGAAGATTCGAGACTCCAGGCATGCAGCTCTTTTTCCTATCGTGTCAAAGTAATTAAGTGAGCAATTTATTTTGATATGAATTGTAACCAATTCAATTAGGAACGATAAATTGACTCAAAGACTTCTAATGGTTGTGGCAACGGCCAGCTATTAAGGCTGAAGCTAAGACAGTTTTGAAAGGACCGGAGGTTGCTAATCGGGACGGGTATTATTTATGAATATCCTAATCGGGCAGGTATTATAATGTTGGATGAACGGGACGGGTATTATTTATGAATATCCTAAACGCACGAATAGGTGATGAGTTTGCAAAATCTTTTCCTACATGGGTATGGGACGAATATGAGTTTGTATATTTGAAAGCGGGGATTAAGAATAGTTTAGAAAAAAATCTGCCTCAAACTCGCCCATTGCCATCCTATCTGGCTCTCGTAGTCGTTGAATTGGACTGCCTTCAATTTATTCCGAAATTGAAAGAAAGATGATGAAGACATAACTCAATGTTACTCATTTTTAAGCGTATTAGGCCCCTTGTTGGATCGTATTTTATGACTGGGCTTTCAACCCACCCATTGCTTGAGTCATATCGATGCTTTATTATCATTAAGATTTAAGACCATTGTAAAACTCAATGTGCGATTCGCTATGATTCGAGCTGAAGAGGAAGGTAAAAGGGAATTCATGGTATTGGCTCAATTAAGGTCTAAGGATTGTGGCGGGTGCAAATTTTGCTCTTACAAATTTAAGGGTCAATCTGGTTCACCCCAGCATTCCCTACTTGTCCGATTGTTGCTGAGCAGTTTTTGGATATTAAACGCACTTCCCCCTTGGTTGTCTAGGAATGGAGTTATAGCCTTGGTGGAATGGGATCGATCCTAATTTCTTATACATAGCACTAGAGGGCTTTGAGCAGAACATTAGCGGTTTGTTGCCCGATCCTAATTCTCAACCATCAAGCATTCAATGTCACTAAAATGCTGCCTATGTCTGTTTAAGGATGTGGTTATAAGCATCCGGAGTCTGACGAGTATGGTAGAGTCGTTGAAGTCGCATTCGGATTAAGCGATTTGTAGTTCATATCATATCCAGGATTACACAAACTGCTACAATAGCCAGCTGATCTGATCATCTGTAAATACACTAATGAGCAAAAGATGAAGAGACATTGACGGCAAGTCAAAGGGATCGAAGGCCGAAATCCCTAGTGTCGACAACATCTTTTCTCAAGGTATCCCATGAATAACTCGACCAATAATAATCCCATGAATTCCCACTTCCTGCGAAGCGTACCAATCAACAGCTACCCTGCAGAAGTCCAACTTGGACATGGACTACTCACTCAAAAGTCCTGCTCCTGGTCCCACTTGCTTCATAAAGCAGGGAATAGACATACATACCAGAAGAACCCAGATGGACTAAGCAGCAAACGCCAGCTCAATCTAAAAAGGGCAATAGTTTGAATCTGCTGAGAGATTCACACACATTGCACCAAAAGAACAGCAACCATTAAAATGGAACAAGTACTGGATACAACTTGCTATCATCATTATACCCAATGTCACCACACACAAGAACTTGCTTGCTCTTAAGAATCCACAAGTAGTACTACTAGCATCTTGCTACTCAGTGCATTATTCTCAATAAGCTAAAAAAAATCAACAGCCATGCTTATCACAGCTGCACTGGCTGAATATCTATACAAACTTACATGAACCTCCCAACACGTAATAACTTATAAAATGACTCTGTAGCTTAGAGTGCATCTACCCAAACATAAGCGTGAGGATTACGAAGAAACCAACCAACAAGAGCAGGTTCTTCAAAGCAGTATCACTCTGGTTCTGTCGATTGCTCGGTGGTGGGAACCAATTGGCATGGCCACCATGGAAGTTATGAAACCCATTATGGAAACCAGGAGCAGTTCCATAGGCAGCAGCATCATGGAATCCATGGAACTGGAAATTGAGCAATGATGGGAACAGAGAAAAAAAACCAATACCAAATCCACCAGACCACGCGAAGTTGCCGATCCTTCCACTAGCCGCCGGAACAAACCCTCCTCCCAATGGTCCAAACCCAAAGTTACCGAAATCGTTGTCTGGTGCAGGGGGTGGGGCGGTCTCCGGCCTTTGCCCAGCAGGCCTTGGAGGGGTGTCAGTGATGCCTGGATACGACTTGGACCGAGGATCATCGACCTGTGTTTTGCCTCTGCCGTATAGAGGTACCAACTTCTCTTCCTGAATTAGAGCCTTGCAAACAGGGCACTCGTGAGAGTTGGAGTGGTGGTGAAGCCATCTGTAGAGGCATGGCCAACAGTAGAGATGGCCACAGAGGGTAACAATTGGATCCTGAGCTAAGTCAAAGCAGATATTGCATTCGAAATCCTCAGCAACCTGCATCGCCTGAAATTTCAGCCGCAGAATAGGTCGAGATTTCCCTACTCTCTCCCCTCCTTCCAAACCCTAGATCAAAGCAGAAACGCTAAAAACCATAAACCCACCAGAAACGTTAAAAGAGCTTAAATTGAAAGACGATCTCCAAAACCCTCATAAAAAAATCTTAACATTGAGATCCCAGCAATTCTAAATTCCACCTAACGGAAACCCTCAAATCATTCACCAATTCGATTAGAAACTCGAATACAGAAAAATTAGCTCAAACCCACAAGGAATTTCTCGAACATACTTACAGAAGAGCCCGCAAGAACTTGAAGCGAAGGACAGTGTATCGGAACTCGGGAGCAAAGCAGCGAGCTTTCTGCTTCTTCAGTGGCTGGGAAGGATTGGATGAGAGGAACGGAGAATTAGGAGATGAAATTGAGTATGGGAGTCAGATTTCTTTCTGCTTCCCAATTTATATTGAGAGTTTAGGCTGAGGGTTAAAGAGAATAGACGGAATCGAAATTACAAAGGGGAAGTTTCTGGAAAATTGAAACGGGAATTTACCTATGTTCAAAGACGGACTTTCCTACGGGACTTCCCACCAGAAAACAAAAGAAAAACGTCCCATTCGCCAACTACCAATTGACACCTGGCTGTGGCTGGTTGGCTGACTCGCCTAGCCCAACAGCTTGAGTTAACCTTAACAACTAGGGGTGTTCAAACGGTTTGGTTACCGTGGTAACCGTTTTAATCGGTACTATTTGGATAATTTGATTTGGTTAATTTGGATAATTGGTTTGGTTTGGTTAAAATTTTTAGCTTGTTTGGTTTAGGTGGTTTGGTTTGGTTTCGGACACTCATAACCAGTCAAACCAAATTAACCAGTTAAGTAATTAGTCATATATATAACATATATTATATACACATACTTAATACTTTGCATAACCACTCAAGAGTTAACGTTCATCCCTTTTAGACTCATAAAATATAAAGCTCAATATTGCTCATATAGTGTATATTTGTATATGTAAAGTGTAGACCACAACATATGGACGCCTAATTTAGATAAATTTCATACATTATGATGGATGAAAACTTGAAAGGAAGGTCATTTCCAGCCTATGATAATTGCTAAGAGACTAAGTCAATTAACCCATACCATTGTCATAAATTTTTGTTAGGTGAATACTGTTATACTAATCGTAAGATAATTGTCTTAGTTGCATGTATTTTTGTTAAGGGTCAACTATAACTAAGTGTTGATTGTTATGTTTTATTCATTATATAAATTGTGAATTGTTGCATTAACCGGAAAATTTTCATCGTCAATGATAATGTGATTTTATATTGGTTAATTTGGTTAACCAATTAACCAGACCGATTAAACTTTAGTTTGGTTAATTTGGTTGTTGTATTAGTTTGGACGGTTTGGTTATGATATTGTATTCCATGGTTAATGAAATTTAGCCTTATTTGGTTTGGTTATAACCATGGTAACAATTTGAACACCCCTATTAACAGCAATATTGCCAAAAAAAAAATTTATAGAACCCATAAACATCTGAAGCACAATCACATTTTGTGATGGCAGAGTGAGACCAAACTTGGAGGTCACCTGACACTTTATGGCTTTACGCGCCATCAGGGTTTCGCTCCAGAAGCCAAACATGCCTCCGGAAACACCACAGTGGGCCTCGAAGGGGGGTCGAACATGAGATCTCCCACTTCCCGGAACGAGCGACCGCGAGGGTTTCACCGCTAGACAATGTCACGTTTGGCAATATTGCCAAAATTAAAACGAAGTATGAATTAGTATACTGAACGACTCCCATTTTATTAGGTTAACTGATACAAAGTCGTAAAAAAATCGTTAATGAATTTATATCTCATAAAAAGAATAGTGTAAGTACTACATACATAATAACACACTAAACCATATATCACTCTCAATCATTGTTTCTCAAAATTTTCCTCGCGTTATTCTCGAAGGTGATTATGAGGTTATTAGAAGTGGTAAATGGATTGGATCTATGAATTGGTGTATCCATAGATCAAGTGGATTGAATCAAATGAATTGGTGGATACATGGATGGATCATGTAGATTAGTCGATTGGATAATGGATCCAAATGACATCTAAACATTGAATCAATATGTAAGTTTTGGAAATTTTAGATACTAAAATGTCATAATAAAAAATTTAGGTACCAACATAATCTTTCAATGATATTTTTGTATAAAAAAAATTTAGTTACCGAATTGTAAAATAAAAAAAATGTAGGTACTTAACTGAAATTAGCCAACTTACAATGAATTTACTAACCCAATTGGATTGGATTGGAAATTGCCACCTTTAGAGATGATGATTCGGAAGCTACGTCTAGGTGTGGCAGGCTGTCAGCAGATTCGAAGGGAGCCCCCTGCTTCGAGAGTGTTGTCAACTCACTTCTTTGCTTCTGTTTATGTAGTAGTTAGGGCAGTTTCGCAAACCACAAATTGGGCTACCCATAGAATGGTGCTTTGATGTACTGTCTCTTTTAGAGTAAGTATATTTTCCAATTTTTCTCTTGTTATCTCTTGAAAAAAATTACATTACTCTTAAACAAATTAAAAAAAGAGTACTAAAATAACTATAAAATTTTAAGCCATATTCATCAATTTTGGGTTAAATACAAAAGTGAGCACTAAATTTGTCTATTTGATACAATATAAGCACTAAGCTAACTTTTCACGCATCAAAAGCATGGTCCTCATGCCCCGTTACAACTGTATTCAACCGATACCAATCACAAAATCGACTGTAATGTCTCCGACATTATTGATTTCTGATTTCTAAACAAAAATAACTTCATTTTGGTGAATTTAATTAAATTTTATTTATTTGTTTCTTTAATTTTAAAGTTAAATATTGGTGTTATTTGTTGAATTCGAGTATGAATGTTTACATATTTTTATTATTTGTTGGATTCGAGTATAAATGTTTGAATATTGGCGTTAAATGTTGGATTTAAATATGATGATTTTTTATTTTGTTTGGAATGTCGTATTTTATTTAAATATGAATGTAAATTTTAGATAAATTATTTTTAATATTTTATATATATGCCTAAATTCATTTAGTGCTAATAATTTCCTACTTCTTTACATGTTTTGCTAAAACCGGTGTGAACTAGAATAAAGTTGTTGTACCACTAATCCAACCATATTACGTGTATAATTAGGGATGGCGATGGGGCAGGTTGGGGCGGGTTTTGTCAAACTCAAACTCATGGGTTTATTCGCCAAAAAAATCCGGGATAAAACCCGCTGGATTTGAAAAACTCAAACACAACCCAACCCACTGGATATCCGCGAGTTCATGGGTACCCGTGGTGTTCATAGTAAAAATTTACAATAATAATCAACAAGAAAATATCAAAATAAAAATAAGCATAACAACCTTTGATCCAAAGCACTCAACTAGTTTGTACAATATATTGATTTTGTTTTGTTCCAGAAGAAAAGACCGCGAACCAAGCCAAGCTTCATAGTTTGGTTTGTTGGGAAATTTGGATAAAAACCGGAAGGATAGGTCAGTGAATATGACTAGAAGTATGATTCATTCATTCATTCATTCATTCATTCATTCATTCATTCATCCTACCACTACTATATGGACGTTCTCACTCAGAACCTCTTTCATTAAAATTTCCAACGTTCTGAGCGTTTGTAGGAAGGTTAGCTTTGTAAATTTAATTATTAAACATGAAATAATTAATAGGAAAAAATCAACATCCGCACCATCCTCTAAATTCCTAATAATTAGCTAAGCCTCCGAATAAAGATATTGAACAGAAGACAAAAACTGACAGGAAATTATTAAAGAATAAATTCTGTCCGTGAGTAGATTTATGTTTTCAGAAAGAACGCTTCTTTCATTTTAATTATTAACACTTTCACTATTAGGTTATAAAACATATTACAATCTTTCTAATAATTTGTAAATTTAATTTACATATTAATTTGTTTAAAATAATAAATATACTATTCAAGTGGTACAACGTTTCATATGCTCGCAATGTGTTGTAGATGCACACTATCGATCACTTATATAGTTATATTAGTAAGAAAGTTTTAACTTTAAAAAATTTAATCATAAATATATAAAGAAAATTTATACAAAATTAATCATAAGATCAAGCATCTTCACTAAGAAATCCTATGATATACTAAGTCAATGGTGAATAAGCATTGGTTGAAAGTTACTCCTAATTTTTAAGAGCATCGGTTCATAAATTAAGGCGTTGGTTGGAAGTTGCTTCATATTGTATAAGTCTATAAGATAATAATTTTGAGTATCATGGTTCACAAATCAAGGGTATAATGTCTTAGAGAGTTAACAAATTGAGGCATTGGTTGAAAGTTACTTCATATTATATAAGATAATAAATTTGAGTATAATGGTTGACAAATCGAGACACAATGTATTACATCGAGAGTTAAAAAATTTCGGCATTAGTTAAAAGTTACTTCACATTGTATAAGATAATAAATTTGAGTATCATGATTTATAAATCGAGGCATAAAGTCTTACATTGAGAATTTACAAACTTCAGTTCTGGAAACGAAAGAAGATTAAATAATTGAACAATAATAAGTGGGTATGATATATGAAGGAAATTTTTATATGATAGGCATAACAGACAATCAATAATTATTGATTAATCATCAAAAATTATAAATATATATAGTTATGACAATGATAAAAATCATTGATGAATTGTTGAGTATTTTTATAGAGAAATGAGTCTATAATATGCCAATTTTACATAAACCTACATCAAGTGTATACTCAAAGTCAAAAGACTATGAATAATTAATAGTAGGATGTTACCACAACACAAACCATTTTAGATACTGAAAATAATAAGGTACAAGGATAAGTTAATTTTACATAAACATAATTGATCGGACCAACGTATAGTTCTATGAATTTAAGAAATATCATTCGGCAGAGAATCAACCAATTAGCAATACAATGATGCTTGGCAATTTTATGTACATTTATACCCTCTATGATTTAGGGAAGATGAAAGTTATTTTTCACCAAAAGTGTGGTTACTATGATTAATGACAGTTTGAATGTGGACAATAAGGAAGAGAATATTGATGGTCTGGTTAGATAAGTTTTTGGGCTAATACCACTACAACACCCGAACTATGACAAAAATGCCACTTGTGTCCTATTATTTCAAATATTCCATTTGTGTCCTGAACTATTTTTCCGTTAAAGTTGACCGGCGTTGACCGTTAGTTTTTAACAGAAATTATAGTTAGCGCTGATGTGGCAGATGACATGGAATTTTAAATTCAATTTAATTTAATAACATTAAAAAAAAACTCCGGACCACTTCCGACCTCACCCTCCTCCCACATTCTCTCTCCCTCCCTGCTCACCAGTCACCTCCGCCTCCCAACTCGCCGACTCCGCGAAGTCGCCACCATCTCCCATTACTTCGCTCTCCTCTTCGAACCCAAAAATGCGGCGGGTTTCCATCCGGCTCCCTCGCCACC